CAGCTGAGTTTAAAGATTGGAAGATCCAAACCCAATTCCAGAAGATTGAGTAAATCTTCTATTCTTCCATTCTAAACCTGAAGAGTCAGGGTGAGGCTGTTTGGGCACATGCAGTGCCATTTGCAACCTCAGTACTTCCATTCTCATCCTCGTGCATTCAGCAGCAGAAAGGAGACCCCCAGCAAACCCACTGTCACCATCTGGTTCATCGTTGGCTGATTTATATCTGCAGTCACCGAGTTAGTAGTTCTGATTGGAGGCTTGGACCGATACTTATCGTTGATGGAGTCTACTGGGAGCATCTCAGTTATCCCTTCAGTGGTTCTGCCAGACACACATTCTCCCAGACACGCGTGCACTCACTTCCTAGTACGACAGGTTGAACAGTCAGGGTCGAGACAGAGCAGCAGGAGGTGCTGGAAGGCGGAGGGCAAAGAGGAGGATGAGGTGGGGTCTCAGTAGGGAACTCTCCAGTCAAGCTCATAAGGCAGCAAACCTCCTGTTACAGTCTAAGTCAGAGGCAGAGTGTGTTGTTTCATGAGTGAGATGCTGATTAAAATCTGCCTTTTGTGGCTGTTTAACATGCAGTGTCAGAGGATGGCATTGTGGCTTATGATCTCGTGTTTTGGAGGCTCCTTTCAGGTTGCCACAGGCTATTTCTCCAAGATCTCCCGACCTGAAACGTTAACTCTGATTTTTTCTTCACAGATGCTAACAGACCTGCTGACCTTTTCCAGTAACTTCGGTCTTTGTTTCTGATTTATAGTGTCTGCAGTTCTTTCGGTTTTTATTTAGCACTGGAACAAATGATCTAGTTATTATCATGATGCAGTTTGTAAGAATTTACTGCATGCAAATTGTTGTTTCTTACATAACAGCAGCAACTACTCTTCAGAAATGTACATCATTGGCTGAAAAGTACTGAAGTCACAAAAGGTGCTGTATAAATCCAATTCTTCTTTCTTTCTTGTTGAATGCAAAACAGACCGAGTTAACCATGAAGGATAGATGTGTGCATAAAGAAATGTATTTTACAGGAAAGAAATTATGAGAATGCTGGGAACCCAAATCTTGAATGAGGTAATGGTTCTGAAGGAATTAATTCTCATGATACATTAAGTCTCAGCAATCTGATGGCATCATTTGGGTAGAGAGATTTAAGTTATGCATGAAAACACAGATGGAGCAAATATATTGTGCACAGCTCCGGAAAGTCTTTAGTAATTGTGCTGAGCAAGTTAACGTAAAGTGGACCTATTGGTATCATGCAATAAACTACATTGTTATCCAAGACACGTTCATTTTCTGTTTAGACTCACCCAGTGATCTATCCTCTACCCTCAATAATTAAACAGGCCTTAGACTCAGCAGACACAATGGAGAATTGATGGTAGCGATCTATCCACAGCCAAGTACCACATGCTGGTGGCAACGGTATCTGAAAATCTGACACCAAGTCTCCATGTGGGCTTCTCAGGATGAAATAAAGAATCTTCAGACAACTGTAGGTGATATCCATGTTTTCATTTGCTGCCATTTTGCACCTGTGGTTTCCAGCAATGGACAACATGTACTTTTGTCAAGTCAGCGGCAGTTGTTTTTAAGATAACAAGGTATAGAGCTGGATGAACACAGCAGGCCAAGCAGCATCACAGGAGCAGGAAAGCTGACGTTTCAGGCCTAGACCCTTCTTCAGAAAGGTCTAGGCCCGAAACATCAGCCTTCCTGCTCCTCTGATGCTGCTTGGCCTGCTGTGTTCATCCAGCTCTACACCTTGTTATCTCAGATTCTCCCGCATCTGCAGTTCCTACTATCTCCAAATCTGAGTTAGTTTTTTTTTGTGAAACAAAGGTATGGAGTTAGATCACAGGCAGCCATTATCTCATTGAATGGTGGAACAGACTCAAGGAGCTGTTCCTACAACTCATGGCTCTCTTTGAGAAACAATTCCTTCTCATCTCTGATTTAAGTGGGCCATTTATATACAAAGTGAACCCCTTTTTCTTGATTCTCCCCGAAAAGGAAATACCATTTTCTCATTGACCCCTCAGGATCTTGTATGTTTCAATCAAGTCGTCTCTTACTTTTCCAAACTCCAGAGAAACAAGCCCAAACTGTTCGACATTTCCTTATAAGATAACCTCCTCATTCCACGTATTAGTCCAGTAAACCTTCTCTGAACTGCCTCCCTAACAGATTTACATTGTTCCTCAAATTTGGAGAGCAATACTGCACCCAGGGCTTCAGTTGTGATCTTTGTCACTAGCCTGTAGTATTTAGAAAAGCTGCCCACTCTTACTTGTGGTCCCCAGAATGGCTGATTGGTAGGTGAAAGAATTGTTCATCCGCTCCTTGATAAGCTCGGGTGCGTTGTACAAATTCAGGATCAGCTTCGGGATATTTACATCTGATTGATTCTGAGTGTCAGTAACGCTGCAATAAATGAGGAAATAAATTTAATGATTCAGATCAGCAGTCAACTGGTTAATGACATCACATTATCTTCACACTGACGCTAAGTTGCAACCACTTTGAGAGAGCCGCCAAACTAGTCCCATTTCCCAATGTAATCCCACCCCCACGTCCTTTCTTCGCTTAAATATTTATTGTTGTCACTTCTTAAAGTTTTACATCTACTTCAAGCATCCTTCCAGGCAGCGCATTCTTGAATGATATCTCGCTGAGGACTGTTTTACTATTCATTCATGGAATGTGGGCATTGCTGGCTAGGCCAGTATTTATTGCCCATCCCTCATTGCCGAGAGGGTAGTTAAGAGTCGGTCTGGAGTCACATGTAGGCCAGACCAGGGAAAGATGGCAGATATCCTTCTCTAAAGGATATTCGTGGACCTGATGAGTGTCTTAAGACAATCGACAGCGTTTATATGGTTGCTGGGCTAGCTGTTTTTTAAATTCCAGATTTTTATTAAATTCAAATTTCGCCATCGGCCATGGTGGGATTTGAGCCCACAAAAAAACCCTGGGCTTCTGGTTTAATAGTCCAGTGACTATTACTACATCATGGCCTTCCCTTCTTTAGTTGAAGAGATTGTTGGGAATGACACATGTATATAGGCTCTGAGACTCACATCTCTATATAGGATCTGTGACTGACTATGTAGAATTTGGGACTGATGTATGTACATATGATTTGAGACAGTCACTTTTATATAGGATCTGATATTGACTTGGATCTAGGACTGTCACTTGTTTAATGGATCTGAGACTGACACCTATATATTGGATCTGGGATTGATATTGTATATTGGATCAGGGAGGACTGACCCCAATATATTGGGTGTGGGATTGACATTGCATATCGGATCAGGTACTGACACTGCATATTGGATCTGGACTGACATCTGTACATATGATTTGGGACTGTCATCTTATGTAGGATCTGATACTGACACATATACATTGGATCTGAACTGACATCTCTAAAATGGATCTGGGACTGTTGTGTGTATATTGGATCAGGGACCGACACTGTATATTGGATCAGGGACCGA